CAAGTTTAGCCCAAATCCTCCTCACTATTCGCTGAGGGAACAATTAAATTAGACACAAAATATAATTGTGTATTTTTATCCTGCCTCATATTGTTTGTGTGATTAATAATTGGTCATAACAGAGATCTAAAGTGGCCCATTACGATTCCCCTGTGATTCAACACTGGGAGACCATCTTTCACCGTGCTCATTGAAGACACAGCATCCTGGTTTGATGAGATTATGAAACTCGCTTTACTTTATGTCTACAAATGTAACTCTTGAAATTCTATTCCGGTGCATATGTTGGACATTGTGTATGACTAGTTCCAGGTTTCAGGCTTTTACACAACTGGACATGACTCTTGTGAGTCTAAAAAGTGTAATATACATCAACAGAGACGAGGGGCCTTCACCTTGTCTCACATATAGGACTCACTTCTCCCGAGACCACAGTGCGGTGGGGGGTGTCCAGTAACTAATAAGCTAATAAGAGTCTTTTCACAATTGGTTGCATCCATGTTTACTCTATAGGAAAGAAGCAATTTTAAATAAATATTGAGCTGGAAGGGAGCGGCCTTGCTCCTGATTGGCTGGTTGATTGTAATGAAGTCATTAAGAGAGACTTCATTACAAATCCTCACCCATGGAGCTCAAATCTGCATCCTCAGTTTTAAAGCCAAACGGGGCGGCGTCAGCCCTCACTATCTCCTCCTACAGACCCCATCCGTCTGAGCCGCTCTCATCTGAGCATGAAGACATCAGCAAACAAGAAGAATGCTTTATTTTGTTGTTTATTGTTTACAATACTGGTTACTGGCCCTGCTATTATTCTGCAGCATTTGCCCAGAGCACAGTCATCACTTTAGATTGAATTTGTTTCCCACAATAAACCGGAGCCTTGTGGCAGTTCTATGTGTGCAGCAATTCTGAGCGTAATGGAAAAAGAACAATCACATTTGGCAATTAGTCCGAAGCGGCGGGGCCCCTGTGTTTCCGCTACACCACATTATTACACACAATTAAGGAGAGTGCGAATCAGAAGAAAGTCAAGTGAGGAGAAAGATTTGGAAGGAAATGCAATGATAAGCAACCATTAAAATAGAGAATGATGTCTAGTTTCCAAGAAACCAAATGGAAGGGAGATCAGCCCAAAACATGCAAATGAATAAATGCAGAGAAACGAGTTTGTTTTGATGAACGAGTCGAGTGTGGTCTTGGTTATGAGAATTCATACGTGAATGAGTGTCTTTAGAAGAATGTTCAGAAGAAAGAGTATGTTCAAATGTTTTATGTTTAAGGCTTATGGTGCATTCAGACCGCAAACGCTCAAACGCTGAAGCCCCGCTCACCAGACGCGCATTCTCTAGTTTTCAGACGCAGAGGACTTTACACCAGAACGTCCTGACGCGAGTCGGAAGTACCAGAAGTAGCCGGCCGGCTCTGATGCTAACAGAGCTATGCTAGCCGCTTCTTGTGTACAGATCTTCTCCAATATGCAACTTTGCAGCGTGTCTTTGCTCAGAGACCTTCCACGGGCTTTATACAACAGTAGTATGTGTTCACGGAGGTGCGCCATACGTATTTTCGCCATACGGCGAACACACTCGAAGCCGTTGCATAAGGTCACGGGAGCATGACAACGCATATTTTCACAAGCACAGAGTCCCCCATTGTCAACCCTGGTTTGAGTTCGGGTGAAGTCTGGTGTGGGTCCTGTTTTGGCTGTTTATGAGTATTTTCTGTCTGCTCGCTCAGTCCGCTAATGTCCCCGTGACCACTTTGAGGCTCTCTGATTGGTTGTCGCAAGAACGTCCCAAGGAAAGGATGAGCAGAATCCATCTCCTGTGGGCGTCCATTTTTCGCTCCTGCTCCTCCCCTTTGACTTTCCCGCCAAGTCCGTGCGTGTCTACTGAACAGTCCGTCCGTGCGTGCCGAGAGGTCCGTGCTTTGTGACGCTGCAACGCGCGTCACCATAGACTTTGCATTGAAATCCGGCGCAACGCATGATCCGGTCTGAACGCGCCATTAGAAGGTAATATGAGAAAAGTGTAAAGAGGTTAATTACCACATGTTTTTTTGACGTTTTGTTGCGGCAGATGTGTTGTTGCAGCAGACGCGTTGCCATAGCGGACGTGTTGTTGCGGCACCCGTGTTGTCACAGCGGACTTGTTGTTTCAGCAGACGTGTTGTTACAGCAGACGCGTTGTTGCAGCAGACGTGTTGTTGCAGCAGACGCGTTGTTGCAGCAGACGCGTTGTTGCAGCAGACGTGTTGTTGCGGCAGACGCGTTGTTGCAGCAGACCTGTTATGCGGCAGACACAGAGACGCTCGGAGCTGCACTCGTGGAGCACTTTACACAAAAAGCTGCTACCTTCACCTCATTCATCAAAGCCCCTTAACTCGCCCTGTGTTTTTCCCCGCCTCAGATTGCCTAAACTCATGTGGGAACACAACTTTACAGATCTGCCCCCAGCCGCACTCTGGTCTCTGCAGGACTTGGTCCCAAGTGTGAATCCAGGAGAAAAACCCTTCGGAAATCAAGAACCAAGGCGTCAACTCAAAGTTACTTAAGATAGACCTCAAAGTTACTTAAGATAACTTTGATAACTTATTTTTAACACAGTCCATGTAGTGCAGCTTTCTTGCAAAGTGAAAAACTTCCTAAAAAAGAGAAATTACATATTATTTCAGCAGCTCACTGCCGTGTGAACAGGTTTTAGATTTCCAAAATGTTGTGTAATACTCAATGGAGAAAAATCCCCATCCATCCAATCTTTGCTTTAGAATTTTCCCTGAAAACAACATGGTATTTTTCATCGAAGCCTAATCCACAGCCTTTTTAAATGTTCCTGGATACAGCAAGGTTCAAAGCAAAAATCAAATCCTTTTTTCAATGCGCTTCTGTTTTTTGGCTGCTGGATATTTTCAATTGTCCTTTTTTTTTTTTGTTGCAAATCCGCTCTCTCTTGTCTCTGCACAACATTAGCATGATACGTCTCAAAATAAATGACCTGATTGTTGTTGCAAAGCTGAGACAGAATGCTCCAAAAAACTAGTAAATGTTTATTGTTTCCCTCAGAGGATCAGACACATGAAAAGAGGAGGTTTGGTTACGGCTAATGCAGGCGTTTGTGCGGGGCTCAAAATAACCGCTTATCTCCACAAACACATGAACGCCACCGCAGCCGCGTGGACCACACGGTACACAATTATTGTTAAGAAATAAAGTCTTTGCTGCGAGCTGAAGATTCCAGCTCCTTTCATTGTGCTGTCAATTGAAAATTAAGACAATATTTTGTGCAAATTTTAGTTTGGAGAATTTAACCACGTTCCAAAACCATTTTTCCGTCAAAAACAGAGCTAGAGTTGTCACGTCATTGTGTCATTTATTAGTCCATTTCTGGGTCAGGGGGTGGGGGAGGGCGGTGACCATAGCTACACCCAGTCCTCAAAGCACCAGTCCCTCGCTGATCCTCCTGCAGTGGGTCTGCGGGAAGATGTCTGTTGTCATTGAAGAAACAGCCTTGGTCTTTCAGCGGGGGCTTCAGGCAAAGTGGGGTTGAGTGTCTTTCCCAGGAACAGAACGAAAGTTGAGTTGTGAGGGGATCGAACCCACGACCTTCAGGAGCTAGAGCTGTTTTTGCATCCATTCATGCTATTGGATGACCATCCAATAGCATGATGACCACTACAGTAGCGCAGTAGTTAGCACTTGTGCTTCCCAGCAATAAGATCCTGGGTTTGATTTTACCTCCCTCCATGCTTGTATCTGAACTATGGCCCCTAATCAGAAGAGTAATGTCCCCCTTCCCCTACTGTCTAAATGCCCTAACTGAATTATGAATGACCATTAGACCAAAGTGTGGACAACTATATTCTCTGACCATGACTATGAACCCTGACCCTAACCCTACTAAGAAAAACCCTCTTAGTAGCAGTTGTAAAACCCTCTTTTCTAGCGACCTGCTGAAGAGGGAGAGACCAGAGAGAGATCAGAGAGAGACCTGAGAAAGACCATAGAGAGACCAGAGAAAGACCAGAAAGAGACCAGAGAGGGACCAGAGAGAGATCAGAAAGCGACCAGAACTAATCACTGTGGTGCACACAAGTCACAAATATTTTCTTCTGATTTTTAAAATAAGGTAACTTTCTTGTTATACTTGCGGTTATATAATGTTGTTGAAGTACAAACACACACATACACACACACTCTAAAAAAATCACAAACAAAAATCCACTCTGTCGCCACATTTGTTTTGAAGTGTTGTGGATTTATTGCAACACCACTAATTTCTCATGATGAACAGTGCGTCACAAATCCAATCTTGTGTGATATCGCTGCACATTGGAGAGCACAGATTATGCCCGATGCTGTCATTACAAAAAAGTCTCTGTCAAGTGTTTAGTGAAAATAACCAGTTTTCAGGAGGCTCCGAGACACAGAGCTACAGAGGCAATAACGTTGTTTTTAGTGCGATTCTGACTAACAAGATGAAAAACATCCTAATTCTCCCACTTGTGTTTATTAGAGGAAGAGGCTCTCAGCAGGGAGCAGTAACATGGGCTGCATTTGTTTTTAATGGCAAAAACAAATAATACTAGCATAGAAAGGTGTCAGGAGAAGTGAGAAAGGGCAGTATTTCCAACCATCCATCCATCCATTTTCTTCCGCTTCATCCGTTGCCGGGTCACGAGGGCAGAAGTCTAAGCAGAGACGCCCAGACTTCCCTATTCACACACACTTCCTCCAGCTCGTCCGGGGGGACCCCAAAGCGTTCCCAGGCCAGCTGAGAGACATAGGCCCCGTCCCATTTCTCTCACTTGCACTCGTTTTAGACCCTAGCAATCGGTTATGCGCGTTCACGTTTAAGGGTAGTGTGTCCCAATACTTTGAAGACCTAGGGAGAAGTGCACTTCAACCCTTGAAATGATCCCTTCAGACGGAGGGAGGTCCGGACCTGACTTGGGACGAAGTGGCTTCCCAGAATTCTTTGCAAACTCATACGGCGAAAAGAAAGATGGCGGCAGGCGGTGGCAAAGAATCGCACAAATGTAAGTATAGTTTTACAATTAAGCACACGTTTTCCAAAAAATATGTTGGGATATATTAGTTAGACGTAAATACAATTGAATTCTGTACCGCTGTGTTAAAACATGAATTTTGCAAAATCGCTAATTTTCACATTGCACAAATCTACCGAGACAGCTATTTTTATTTCTAGACACGTAAAGTAGGATGATTATGCATGACATCTTTTAACAAAATTATCCCCATTTCTATCTTAAGGAGTCATGCGTTTATATCCGCGGTCACTAGCATAGCTGGGATGCATAATTGTCATCGTGCTTGTTTACTGCACACTGTTTCGTCCTGTAATATTCACAATAGATTGTGGACAAGCCTATCAATTGAGGTGGAGGGAAGGTAGCATTCCGTGCTGACTATTGTCAAAAGGCATGATTTTTCAGCTTGTTTCATGAGCAATATTGTTATATAGTGAAAAGTCCAATGTCTTATGTCATGTGTCAGCACATATGAAATAAGCTATAATTATCTTCTCATAAATAAGTGGAGACAGTATTCAAAAGCATATGTGTGATGCTGGCCAACAGAAAGCTCTTACAGCCATTAGAATAATATGTGAGGTTTGTGCATCCATTCACTATCAAATAATTCACAAGTAATTTAAATTTGCAAATTTTCCTTTTGGAAATTTCCTTCAAAAACTGTCTGTCTCCCAATTGGCCCCTGCCCTCCACCTGAAAAAGAATTCTAGCACATGAATGCAACCTATTGGCGAGCAACTTGTGTCTAATGTGGTCATGTGGGCTAATGTTTCAGGGACTGTGGAGCAGACCAAAGCCCTAATTAAGTTCAGGGCTGACAATGAAGAGCAGTTCACAAAAAAGAAGTATACCACAAAGCAACTCTGGGAGTGAGTAGCCTAACCTGCTGTTTAACAGTTTCATTCTGATAATGCATTAACCCACCCTTATGTTCATCCCTATAGGACAGCAGTCATTGAGATCGGCCTGACGGGTAAAATCAATGGCCAACAAGCAGCAAAAAAGTGGGAAAACTTGAAAATGAAGTACAAGGTAATGTTATCCCATGTCCCATGTTATCATCTTCATCATCTAGGCTAAATAACCCATCCCGTCAGATGTCACATAATTAATTAATAACTGTTTTATGTGACTGTGTTTGTGTGTTTGGGGTGGTTGTTATTGCAGAGGCTGAAATTGCCCAAGACAGGATCAGGCACAGCAGATGGGGAGCAAACGGCATCCAACTGGAAGTTCTACGAGGACATGCATGCAGTTCTGGGGGGCAGGCCATCTATTGACCCACCAGTATTGGTAGCTTCATTTACCCAACCTGGTCCGACAGAATTACTAATGGTTAGTTTACAGGAGGAGGAATTGAATTGACCAATAACTTTCTTAAAATACACTAGTATATCACAGAGCATAAAGGTCTATACAAAGTTGTTGTTGTGCTGTGACTTCAGCATGCATTAATTTATTTTTGTTATTCAAATCTCTAGGCCATTGTTGAACCTCCCATGGAGGAGCCGGATCCATCTTCCACTACTGCAGACACAGCCCCGCCAACACCGATGCCAGCCACACGGGCAGGCCCGTCTACTTCTTCCCCACCAGGTCCTAAAGCACCCACCACCCCATCTCCCAGAAAAAGGGCTAGAAGAGTCAATAATGCTGTCCTTGAGTTCTTCAAACAAGAGTCTGTGAAGGAGCAAAAAAGGCACGAGGAAACTGAGTCCAAAACAGAGAGGTTCCTCAGTTTGTTCGAAAAGCTTGTGGAGAAAATGCCTGAGCAGTGAGAGCTGTGGTGGTTTTCCCTCGTTCATGTTCATGTGCAATACGTTTCTTTTAAGCTTATTTTGATGTTTTTTTATTTAATTCAAATATTGTTCTATATTTGTGATATTTTTCTATACATTGTTTTAGTTATGTCAAATGTGAGTTCATCTTTCTGAATACAAATATTTATATAAATCAAAGTGCTTGGTGGTTGTTTTTTGACCGGGCATCATACACATTCATACAGTATGTCACGTCATTATAAAACAAACTACCAAGGTATTGTACAAAATAAGTTTAATCAAATGTAGAAACATGAACCACAGCAACAATATACAACACTTACAGTAACTATATACACCCACATAACACACAGGTCAGATATGTGCTTGAACATAACTATTTACAAGTTTTGCAAGGATTTTTTTCAGTGAGGGCCTTGTTTATCAAATCAGGCCAGCGAGTCTGTCCCTTGTGGCATTCCCTGGTGTTACATTTGGGTCAGGGAGTTCTTGTAACGGCAGTTCTGGGTCCATGTTGTCCCCGGCCACATCCTGATCAGGCTCCAAGATGGCTCCGTTATCCAAGCAAACATTATGCAGAAAGGCACAGGACGCTATTACTTGGGGTGCAAATGTAGGCTTGACTTCCAGGGCCTTGAAAAGTGTGGATCTCCACCGAGTTTTCATTATGCCAAAGGCTCTTTCAATAATTGAACGCCCCTTTGACTGGTGGTAGTTGAACCTCTGTTGCGCTCTGCCATTCACCGGTTCCCTGTAGGGAGTAATGAAGCAGACTGGGGTTTCCAAACACGGGTATCCTCCATCACCCAGAATGAAGTACCCAGTTGGAGGATACCTTCTTGCAATGTAAAAAGAGCTGCTCTTTAAAATGCGTGTGTCATGAACAGACCCTGGATATCCCACAAAAATATCAAGGAACTTTCCCAAGGAGTCACAAATTGCCTGCATGTTTATTGAGTAGAACCCTTTGTAATTCAAATAGTCCAGTCTATGGAGTGATGGGGGCTTGATCCGAATGTGGCAACCATCAATGGCACCAACAGCTTTTTTGAGGATGGGTGTCCCAGAAAGTTGCTCAAATCCATGACCCACGGTGTCAAGATTTGCCGGGCTTGGAAATGATATTGCCCTGTTCAAATTGTCCCAAATAAACTGTGCAACCTTGTGGACTATTCTATGGATGGTGGACCTGGGAATATTAAAAACATGTGACACCACACGGTAGGACAGACCATGGGCAAGCCAGTAAACGTAGATTAGAACTTCTAGCTCATGGCCCCAGCCGTGGTCCTGTTCTCTCCTCAGCAGACACTGCAGGGCATGCATGGCCTTCCTCCTCAGTCTGAAGTCCCGGATGAGTTCCAACTCCACGTCAAACCACAAGCGCAGGATGGGTACATTCCTGTCCATCCTACAGTAGGTTAGTGCACGGCCACTCTGGAACACAATAGGTAAAAAACAAGCATTTAGACATAAACATAGTAAATAAAAGACAGCTTTTACTGTTTTTTTATGCATCCTGACAATTATACATCACAGTTGTCTTTTTCTTTTTTAAATATGATCATAACTGCGAGTTGGCATTCCTTCAAAAAAACAAAAAAATGGGGTTTTGGGGATACAGGGAACGTTTTGTAAGCTTCAGGTGTGAGGTGGAATTTTCTCCTGTTTGTTTGTTTACTTTCTCATCGCGTAACCGGTTAATGACCCAAAGGCTGTACCCATTTGTGAAAAAATTAACATAAATTATAAGTAAGTTGGCGTTTTATCGAAACCAATAACAGGTAGTACGCTAGCAGCATACGGATAGCGTCATAATAAATGAGTCCACGTACCGTAAACAGATTAATCAGGGCAAAATAGCGGCGAAGTCGTCTTCGGTTTTGCCCATTTCTTCTCTGTTTGTTGGCCACACGAAGAAAGGTCATCAACGCCCACGCAATGGGTAAAATAACTACTGGAGCCGGCATTTCCAAACCTGTACAAACCCTCGATGAAAATACACCGCTGCTTGTGACTCGTGTTTATGCATGACACAGGAGAACACGTGACGTTACTGAGGTGTACAGGCAATGTGTATTACCGCCATCTACTGGACTGGGGTGAAATTTTGAAACTAGTGATGTCCCAATTCTTAGGGGAAATTCTTCACTTGCACTTCCCTCATTGAGGGGACTCTACTGTGGAGGGAACTCATAGCGAGTGTTCTCAGAGCAAGTTAGAGAAATGGGACTGGGCCATAGTCCCTCCAGCGTGTCCTGGGTCTTCCCCGGGGTCTACTCCCGGTGGGACGTGCCCAGAACACCTCCCCAGGGAGTATTTCCAACTAGGAATGTAAAAAAGGTGAATGAATGTCTGAGAGCACAACATTCTTTCTTAATTTCTAACAAAAGAGATTAACTACTTGACACTTTGGGCTGAGTGAGAGGTATTGAATGTCCTGGACCCTCCTGCACCGGCAAGAAAAAAACTCTGAAAAACAAAACAGTGGGGAAAAGTGAGAAACCTTGGGGGGAACCACATTGAGAGAGGGATCCGCTCCCATGGACAGTCAGGCTGTAGATCCAGGACTCAGGTTGTAGAACGAGGACCGAGGCTGGATGTGGAATCAAACACAGGACCTTCTTCTAACCATTTATTAATTGTAGCTAACCATTGAGATCGAATTGCTCTAGCTCACTCCCACTTTTGTCCCGGAAAAGTATCTCTCCGGGGAAAACGTTGGAAACACCTGCTTTATATGTGCTTTTAAGAACTGTGTGATCATTGTTCAGTGGCACAGTTTAAAATCACAGGGACAGAAAGTAGTTCGTCTGACATGTCTGTACAAGTGGAAGAATACATGACGGATTCTAAATTTGGAGATGTATGAGAGGAGCAGGAGGCTTGGAGTAAGAGCTGTGATACTGTTCTGTGAGGATGGGACGTCCCGCCAGGCCTCGGAAACATCCTATTTATCTCCTGCTGTGAAGGAAGAACCAGAGAAAAGTGCGGAGAGTCATTTATCATTTAGTCGAGACACTCTGACTTCCAGGAGGAAATATGCCAATGCTGAAATGCAATCCCAAAACAGCATCACTGTATTGCTCGACTTACAAGCGCACCTCAGTTCAATTCAATGTAGTTTTGTACAGCCCTCAATCACAACAGCAGCCGTCTCACAAAGTTGTCCATTCACCAACAATCGGTCAGAGAATCACACAACATAACAGGAGCCATTGGTCCAAAGGGAGTGGGACGACCATGTTCCATAATGTCCTTAGACCCTCAAAAACAGTCAAAACAAGAGCTAAACCGGGACTAAACTAGGCCTGACAATGAGGGACACAACCTTGTCGACATTAACCTTCACCCCAAGTTTACCTTCCAGTTGGATTTTGGCTCAAAGTTTGAGTGAACCCTCCAGACGCAGTATTCTCAAGTAGCCATTGACTACACACAAGTACCATAGTGATGTTTCACAGAGACCTGAATTAAACAATCTACAAACAACACTATGATGAACTATTAGTCGTGATTCCACTGCAGGAGTTCCTGGTAATAGGAGCGGGGTGGAACTCTTACAGGAACTTTCCTCTTCCTCGGTACTCTCAGTGTCCGTGTCTCCACTGCAGTAGGACCACTCGACTGCGTCATATGAGTTTCGATTGCTGCATAAGCAAAACTCATTACGCCAAACGTTTATTTTACGTTCGTGACTGCTCTACTGCCGTGCTGTTGTTTGCTGTTTCCAGTGTGTTCTGCTAGCCTAACGCTGATAGGCTAACGCTGTTGGGCTAATGCCGGTTGTTTTGCTGCTCTCTGCTGGCGTCTGAGCGGTCTGAGCCTGTGCAAGCTTTAGCCAATCAGCGCCAGGTTAACCTCAAATCCCACCAGAGCCCAACGGAGTACCGGAGGAGGTACTCCATTGGGCCCCGTAAAAGTTCCTGTAAATGGCCCTGTGGGGAAAGTTCCTGCAGTGGAGACAAAGGTAAAGGTAAACGCAAAGGTGCACTTTACCTCTACGGGGATTATAAAAGTGCACCTTTACCTTTCTCAACTGTCCTGACTGACATGGTGATATCATATTCTGCAGTGTTTCCCAATGGGACATGACTCATTCAATAAAAACATCTCAACGGTCTTGTCTTTTTGGCCATTACCCAAAGCTCAGGACAAATATAGAAACGTAGATCGGCACAGAGGTTTTAACTGTTTTATTGTTGGATTGCAGGAATGTTTTAATGGATTTAATGTGATTTTATTAATAAGCACTTTGGTTTCCTGGAGTGTTGTAAACGACTATGAATAGAAAACGGTTGAATTCTCCATCACAGATCAGAAAATCAAACAGTTCAAACATTGGTCCATGCCGAGACCAATGTCCATAAACATTTTAGGGGATTTTATTCATGTATGTATTTAATTATTAATGTTTATTTGGGATCAACAAGCATAGTTCATAGTCCACAGAGCTAACAGCTAAATCACAGACCTGTCCCTAAGACATGGAAATATCACAGTCTTGTATTGTGCTCACAAGTTTGGTTTCTTTGGAGCCATTGCTTAACTTTAAAGTTAAACTCATTCATAAGTGATTTTATCATAAAGAACTTGAGTGTTTTTAAGGGCTCTCTTCATAAATACTGTTTGATTTCTCTAAAATAACAAGTGGACTCCCGTGATTACACTGGATTTCCACCAGGATTTACTTTATGAACAACCAAGTAAACTTTCAAAATGGCAAAAGTTTTAGAACAATTCAAAAGTTTTAGAACAATTCAATTCAAATTCAACGTCTCCAACATGTGCCCTGTTCAAAAAAACACTCCAGCATCAAAATAAAGAGCGTTTCTGTGATGGGATCCAATCTCAAATATTCCCATTAGGCAAAATTCTAATTTTGTGAATTCAAATTTGGAAAACACTTCAGCAAACCATGAAGAAGCCCTTGAAAAAGCCCCTGATTTTCCTTTTAAACATTGTCACACTCCTGTCACAGGATCAGAGGACCTGAATCATCGAAGGCATTTAGATCGCAGAGATTAGCATAATCTGACTCCTCCAAACACTCTTTTCCAGATGACTAAACTCACTTTCCAATCGCAGAGTGGTGTTTTTTTACACTTAATTAGAGCGGGGAATGTTAGAAGGCAAAGGTTGTTTAGTCTGGCATCTTTAATAAGAAAAGATGATTCATGGTTGAATGAAAAAAGAAACACATACAGACTCGTGCCAAGAGCTTCACAGACTCATATTTAGTAGATGCTAAAGGTTTCTTTTTGTGACACATCTGGCGTTGAAATAAACGCTTTGATCATTAGCTTTGGTTAAATGCTCCGGAGGTTCCACTAAATTATGTTCAAATATCTTAAAGCTGGGGTACCTGACTTTTAAATGACAACAGTGGAACTAGGCAACACAATCCATCTTAATCCGTTGCTTCTACTCTATTGTGTTCTACTCTGCTTGACCCTGTCTATTGTATGCCCATGGTATGGTCCCGCGTCCTTCACATGGAGCTAAACTGTTTTTCTGCATTCGTCAACTAAAAGTGTTAGCATCATGAGAACAAAGTGTTAGCATCATGTGATCAAAGAGTTAGCATCATGTGACCAAAGTGTTTCCATCATGTGACCAAAGTGTTAGCATCATGTGACTAAAGTGTTACCATCATGTGACCAAAGTGTTAGTATTATGTGATGTGGAGAAAATGTGTTTTTGGTGTAAATATGTTACGCACTCTTTGGCCCAACAAGACAGAATGACTGTTTCAAGACTACAGATACCATGAAACTGGACTTAATCAAAAAGATATTGTGTTATTCACAGGATAAAAGATAGGGGGGAGACAGGTGAGGGCGGGGGGATGTGAGCATAGACTGTATATATTAACGGACAGAGTCACGCCTATCTCCGCCATTCAAACAAATGGGCCAAAAAATGTGCTCTACTGGAGCTATCCAAAATGGCTGCGAGTGGTCCCGCCCACAAGAAAATTTTGAAAAAAGGCATCTGCGCATGCGTCAGCCGGCGCAACTCCATTCATTTGAACGAGAGACTTCAAAAATTCACAGCAAGTAAACTAGAGTGGTCCAAAAAAATTCACTCCCTTCAGCATTGACACACATGTGGAACGGAGCTTTGGGCCAAGAGCCAACTTTTGGTCCATCCTGTAAAGACGTTTTCGAGAGGCCTGCCAATGCTATATGTTAGCATTGGCTAATTCTACTTCTAGGTCCACCCCCATCGGCCCGGGGTGGTATTGCAAGCATATCAGCGCACGTCATTTTGGCCACTTTTGAGCCAGGACCCGCCCCCACTGGATGTGAGGGAGCGGGAGGCAGGCAGATGACACCGCTATAAAACCTCTGACGTGAACTTTCCATGCTGTGCTTCCATCTAAACAGATCTGGCAGCTCCACTGGGGTCTTCTCAGTCCTCCTCCCCCAGGACTAAAGCCCCCACTGTCCTGCTTCCCTTCATTTGACCAAAGCCTAGTTTAATTATTAATCAAGGTGTACACACGGGCGCCATATGGAGAGAGAAAAACCAGGATTATGACCGGGAACATGCTGGGAATATTCAAAGAGTCAGTTGAAAGTGGAGCATACATTTTACAGCAGTCTACGGAACTGCGGGTTATGTATTCTCTTCACACTCACTCCTCAGCCTTGTTTATCTCCAATAGATCCAGGCGTTTATTGATTTTGTTTGCCTTCTAAAGCATCACTCAGTAGCCTAGGCTTATGAAATGATGGGAAATGCAGATGTGCCTCAAAGTGTAAAACAAGAGAGAGAAACATTAAACATGACGTTCCTCCATGGTTGCGTCTCACCGTGTGTCACCGCAGCTGCTCAGTGTGCATATAGTCCCATCTGAAAGTTGTATCATACTAATGTGTTTACCTGTGTTTACCTTACCTGAGTCTGAGAAGGTGAGCGTAGCCAGGAACCATGGGGAGTCAGAAGTCCCGCCCTTTTTCTGCAGCGCTCATTCTGATTGGGCATATGGAATGTTTACCTAAAATGTTTTTGTTTTGTTTTGAGGTCAGCATATGGGGAAATTCAACAGATTCAAAGTTGCTGTGTAACATCTAACAGTATGAATATTGAATTAAATGTTTTGTAATTCTGTATATCTCAGTTCAGGGAGCACTGGTATAAGTGTCTTCCTGAAATGAGTAATTCGATTTTGTTCTTTTTTTTGTCTGTGTTTTGTGGTGTCTTTGTATTGTCTTTTATATGAACCTTGAGTCCGGAATAAATATTTATATAATTATCATTTTTACTATTACTATTAACATCATATAGTAGTTCAATTCAATATCACAAAAGTTGATTGACGGATCAGAAACGATGAAACAGTTCAAACACAGGAAATGCAATAATAACGCATACATAGTGAAGAAGATGACAAAGTCTGGGATCGTGTCTTTAATTCAGACAGAAGACATGTTTTATTGTCAATGGTAGAGACAGCACGAACAACACGAACAAAGGATGTTAAACTGTTAGTGATAATATAGCATGGGAGAATTAAGTCCTCCAATCAGCAGCTGCCACGGTGTGCCTGTAGCTTGGCCTTCAGATAGACAAAACAAGGGAAAAGTACTGGCTTCTGCACATTGAAAGAACGATGAGTTTAACTTTAACAAAAGTTGCTCCAAAGTGTTATGAAATCTCACATTCCCACCTCTGGTCATACATTCACGTGTGACCATCAAGATCGATAAACAGCAACATAACATCATGACTCAATACTTAAACTCGGTACTTCACTCGGTACTTCAAAAAACTCAGAACTCGGAATACTTCAAAAACTCATAAAACATGTTCAGATCTTTCAAAAAACTTGTCAACAATCTTCAGTAAAATACCAAACTTCATCAGTCGATGGTAGTTCCAGATATTGCTTTGAAAACAGTCTCTCCCATTTCTCCGTTTTGATTTCTTCAGGCTGCATTTGTTGTGTCAAGCCATGAATTCTTCTGTGACGTGTCTTTCAATCACACGTTTCAGCTTTAGTGTCCAGATTCAGCAATTCAATTCAGTCCAAATTATGTCCAAATTCAGATATCCACTTGTTCCAAATTATGTCCATGCAAAAGAGGACGCTGGTGTTATCCATGTCTCAGCAGCTTACAGCAGGCCTGATGGAATCAGGGGCTGTGCAGATTGTCCATGTGAAGACATGTTTTATTGTCAATGGTATTGTCAATTGTTTGTGTTGTTCGTGCACGAACAACACGAACAAAAGATGTAACAAACTGTTAGTGATAATATAGCATGGGAGAATGAAGTCCTCCAATCAGCAGCTGCCACAGTGTGCTTGTAGCTTGGCCTTCAGATAGACAAAACATCAAATGGAAAAGTACAGGCTTCTGCACATTGGTAGAATGATGAGTTTAACTTGAACAAAAGTTGCTTAAAAGTGTTATGAAATCTCACAATAGCAGCCATTGATTCATAAGGGGCAGATGACCAATACCATTAAGTTTAAAACTAACAGTTAGAAGCTGTTGTTATGAAAATGAGTTTTAAGAAGTGATTTAAAAGAGGATACTGATGGAGCCTTCTGTCAGTCAACAGGGACCTACCCGAGGATCTAAGGCTGCGGGGGAAGGGCTCTTAGGGGGTTTAAAGTTCATAATGTATCTTGGTGCCAGACCTAAACGAGCTTTAAAAGTAATCAGTAAAATCTTAAAATTAGTAGTCTAAGACACAAATAAGGCTTAAGCGCAAGTTGAGAATAGAAAGACCTCATGCTGCACCCCCATCCAGGGTCCAGCCTCTCCAGCCTCAGCCAATCACACAGCTCTAACAGCAGCCACTTCCTACTAACCAGCGCTTCCTGAAGCTCTTGATACCCACCGCCTCCCCAACACCAAACAATAAATCTTTCTAAATGCATTAATGTGTCTGTTTTGGTCTCTCCAGATTGAAAGGCAAGCTATGGAAGGTAATGATTCTTTAATTTTGATTCTCTGTGATCTTGGTTCTTATAAAAGCCAATGCCATCTGAACAAATGGCTAGGATGACAGTGGCTCAGTTGGTAGACCATTGGTCGTGGGTTCGATTGCCAAAACCACTTACCCCAATCCAGAAACGGACTGATAAAGGGGGAAAAAATGACATGAAATTACAAGACTCTGGCTATCTTACGTTCTGATTGGCTTCCCCCTCGCTAAGGCTAACATTATGGTGATGTCACACTCGGCCAGTCCACACCTGTGCATGGTCCCACAGTGGGGCAAAGAGAACAACTTTTTTAAGACAATTTGATTCATTCAATCAACTTAACAAACATTTATGTTGTTATTATTATTACATTTTTTATGTATTTTTTTTCAAACATAACACCATGAACAGAATACAATCATACACATATACACACACACACACACACACACCACACTTACTCACTGCCTTCTCTCCCTGAGCTCTGCTGCTGTAAATCCACCGCACTTCCCATGCTTCGCGATTATTCAAAATGATTTTACATTTTAATGGAGCTTCACTGATTCATGAGCCAATACTCTGTAATGAGTAAAGAATGAATGAGTCCATTAGTTATCTCAATAGTCTCTCCACTCTACGCTGGCACCTGAAGCCACTCTCACATGGTATTTGGACAGGTTTCATGAGCAAGAACCTGCCCCAGTATTGTATGAAATACAGAATAGTGTTTCTGCCTCAAAGCGCCGCAGTGGAGTCCTAAGAGAGAGATATCCTCTACACTACAGTGAAACATCACAGGTGAAGAGAAGTTAAGTCCAAGCAGTTTTCTGACAGCAGCGAATCCCCAGGAAAGAAAAGTCTGATACAGAGAAAGAAAAAAACCCGGGAAATGTGTGTGCACTCGCTGCAGTTAACATCCAAACACATAAAAGGGTATATTCTCTCATCATGTAAGAGAAGATAAGAACTTTTATTCATTCCACAGAGGGGACATGTCGGTGTTGGATTGCACGTACAGGACGGGACAGAGAGCACACAAGGAGCCCACAAGATACGCAATTCAAGAGAACACTTTAGTAGTTTAGGCCCCTGGTCCACAGGCCCAACCCCTTGTCTACAGGCCCGGACCCTGGTCTACAGGCCCGGCCCCTGGTCTACAGGCCTGGCCCTGGTCTACAGGCCTGGCCCTGGTCTATAGGCCTGGCCCTGGTCCACATGCCCAACCCCTGGCCTACAGGCCTGCCCCTGGCCTACAGACCAGACCCCTGGTCTATAGGCCTGCCCCTGGCCTACAGACCAGACCCCTGGCCTATAGGCCTGGCCCTGGTCTACAGGCCTGGCCCTGGTCTAGGCCTGGCCCTGGTCCACAGGCCCGACCCCTGGTCTACAGGCCTGGCCCTGGTCTACAGACCCGACCCCTGGTCTACAGGCCTGGCCCTGGCCTACAGGCCTGGCCCTGGTCTACGGCCGGACCCCTGGTCTTTAGGCCCGGCCCCTGGCCTACAGACCAGATCCCTGGTCTATAGGCCCAACCTCATAAATAAACAGTAAGAGGAAACTTGTGGATGTTTGTGTTTAGTCTTTGTTTTTGTGCTTCTATAATTAGGCTTCATTCTATCGTTGATCATATGTTGAGTTGTGTTTTAATCTAGAGTTCTCTAACCAAACTACTCATGAGGTTACTCTTTGGAAAAAGAGAGAAGGCCTTGAAACGAAGTTTCAAGGTAGTGTGTGTGTCTCTACATTGTTTGTCCTTTTCCCCACCTTATACCTTTTCAAATGTGAATTTGTGCAGACTTTTTAAATGAACAATGATATTCTCCTTGGAAAGTATTGGCCACTGTGTGTCCACTCACACAGCTTCTCATCTGCTCTGCCTGTCTCTCGCTCTCTGGTCTCTCTAGACTCTGTCTCTAGTCTCTCTATCTGGTCTCTCTCCCTGGTCTCTCTCGTCTCTCTTTCTGGTCTCTCTCCAGACTCTCTCCGGTTTCTCTCCAGACTCTTTTTGGTATACTCCAGTCTCCGAGGTCTTTCTCTCAGGTCTCTCTCTCTGTTCTCTCACTCTGGTCTTTGCACAGTATCTGCTCTGCCTCTGTCTGAGAATCGCTCGCAGCTAAACGCACACATTTTGCCTGTAACACAATCCCTACACTACACCCCGTGTGTGTGTTTTAAAGATGGTCGTCACACTCATCTGTCTGTCTTCCTCAGGTCAGTGGCCGCTCTGCCCCGGTCTCTCCCTCATGATTTATTTAGAGGTTTGGATGTATCCATCTCTCACACTGATAAACAGAACTGATCCAGGGCTTCATCTCAACAGGTGAAAGTGGAAACGTTTGAGTTGAAGAGCTGTCTGTCTTCACTGAGGCCGAGCAGGGAGCAAAACATCTGGTGATGTTTTTCTTTCATACTTTTTTCTCTGATTTACATTTTGCTCTGAACGGTCAGAAAATCATTTTTTTCAATCACCCAGCGTAGAATTTTAATGTCTGTTTTTCTTTGCTGCTGCCAAATTGCGTACCATCATATTTTGTTCCATCATAGTTTCTGAAAGTAACTTATTTCTGTTTTTCTGAGAACATTTCAAGGAAACGCAACACGACTGACGACAGCTTCAAAAATGTAGAAGATTCCAAACACTTTTAATTTGAAATATTTTGGTTTGGACACAGAGAGAGGAGACCAGGAGGAGACCCAGGACACAGAGGGAGGAGACCAGGAGGAGACCCAGGACACAGAGGGAGGAGACCAGGAGGAGTCCCAGGACACAGAGGGAGGAGACCAGGAGGAGACCAGGAGGAGTCCCAGGACACAGAGAGAGGAGACCAGATCTCTGGTTCCTCTCTGATCTCTCTCTGGTTAATTTGTCTTTTTTTGTGTTTATTTGCTGAACGCAGAGGGGATAATTTGAGAGTTTTTTGATTCTGCAGATGTTCAGGGCTGGATCTGTGTCAGCAGAAATCCTGAAGTCATGCATTTTCCAGTTACCAGCTGCAAGACAAGACAAAGAATGACAAATATTTCCACTCACTGGCAGGAGAGAGGGGCTCAAGACAGCGGCGGGAGAGACAGGCGGGAGAGAGTGGCGGGCGAGAGTGGGGGAGCCAGAGAGTCGGGAGAGAGAAGCGGCAGAGAGAGGCGGGAGAGAGAGGCGGGAGAGAGTGGCGGGAGAGAGTGGGAGAGCGAGAGTGGGGGAGCGAGAGTGGGGGAGCGAGAGAGTTGGGAGAGAGAGGCGGCAGAGAGAGGCGGGAGAGAGAGGCGGGAGAGAGAGGCGGGAGAGAGTGGCGGGAGAGAGTGGGGGAGCGAGAGAGTCGGGAGAGAGAGGCGGCAGAGAGAGGCGGGAGAGAGAGGCGGGAGAGAGAGGCGGGAGAGAGTGGCGGGAGAGAGTGGCGGGGGAGCGAGAGAGGCGGATGAGAGAGGCGCGGAGAAAGAGGCGCAAGAGAGAGGTGGGAGAAAGAGTCGGAGAAGAGGCGGGCGAGAGGCAGTTCAAACACAGGAGATGCAATAATAACAAACACATTAGTCCATAGGAAACAACAATAAAAACCAAAGCATCAGTGAATTATTATGGTTGTGTTATTTATAATTAATTAATTAATTAATATCTAATTCAATTGGAACTAATTTGGAACAGCATTTTTCCAAAACAACCAATCATTAATAAGCAGCTCAAAAAACTTATAATTTAAATGTGTCTGGTAGTTGTTACAATAAATATAGGTTATCGTGGTACTTTTAGTCTTTAAGTGACTTTTTCCCCTTACCTGGCTACATCACACACTTTTCTCTGGTTTTGAATGAACCCAAACTGAGTGAGCCTGTTTCCTGCAGAGACTGAGGCGCTAAAAACTACCTCCATTCTCTTTGTCATTTATCTCCAGCAAAAGTCTCTTATCGCATCAGGCCACATGCAGAGTGTATTTTAAAACTTCTCCGATTCATCTATAAAGACTGCGCCTCTGGGCCTTCTGCAACTGCAAACAACTTCATATTTACACATTATTATTTCACATTGCATCTAGAAATTGGGTTCTAAAAGTATCGTTTTAAAGCTCTATATTGGCTATAGTTCAACAGGAAACACCAGGACTGCGGCTGTAGACCCAGGACTGAGACCCAGGACTGAGACCCAGGACTGAGGCTGCTACATTACAACATATATGAATCGACCTGGATAATTGAAAACGAGATCGACAGAATGGGCAAAACACTCCTGTCTGGTGGTTAAAGTGGGTACATTCTACAAATACAAAACTCAATATTTAATACTCTTGTGTCTTTCTATATTTTACATAAAAATGGCTGTTTCTATTTATTGTCTTTTAATGTTTTATTCTGACTGTGCAGCACTTTGTAAACACAATTTCTACTATTATGATTTAGATAAAGCTGTTTCCCATGACTCTATATGATCAATGCAATTATCAAGTCAACAATCCGTGACCTTGGAGCGAATCTTGAGAGCCACAGTGAACAGAAGGGCTTCCTTTATCGCACGCTGTGAATTTAAATGGATGTTTAAGACACTGACTGTAGTCGTACAGAGTTCACTGGCGATGATAGCTGTGAAAGGAGAGGGAGGCAAGCCGAGGCAGGTTTATTTGTATAGCAGGGTTCATACACCATCCCTTGTGCTCGAACATGGTGTTTTTGATGGACAACCTGTGACTAGCACAAAAGTTCAACAAATAAACACAGCTTGGGTTCAGATCAGAGGGGCTGTTCTTCCCAATCACCCTCAATGCACTGCCCAGTGCCCCTACCAAGGACTCCAAGAAGGCTGAGTACTCTGTACTGCTGTCAGGCCCATAGGCACAACAACAGTGAGAGTCTTGTTCCTCACCCGGAGGCAGAAGGACGCAACCCTTTCATTCACTGAGGAGAACTCCAACACATGGAGCTGAGATCAGGGCACTGAGAATGGCTTCCCCTGCTCCCGGTCTCTTCCTGTGAGAAACACCAGAAAAGTGGAGCGTCCAACCCCTCTCAAGGAGTTGGGTTCCAGAGCCCAAGGTGTGTATGGAGGTGAGGCCGACTATCTCTAGTCTGTATCTCTTATGAGCTAAGGCTCATTCCCCCCCAGTGAGGTAACTTTCCACGTCCCAACGCCTTCGACTGCTGCCTAGTCCTCTCTGGCCTGGCTTCAGGGTGGAGCCCCGGCTGCGCCTACGGGCGACATCACAGTGGTCAATATTGTGTTGTCCCTAAAGGGACAGAGAGAGAGACCAGAGAGAGAGAGAGAGACTTGAGTTCTATCGCACAGTGAAATCTCACAAAACTGTTTGACAGTTACAGATTGAAATAATCTTGTCATCCACATTTACAACTGCCTTTAGAACCAGACTTAAGTGTGAAATGTCTGTAATGTCAAATGGACTGGTTTGGGAAGTAAAGGCAGATGACCAATGTCCATAACTGTCATTGAAATTCCCACTAGACTGAGAACACAAAACCTCATCTGGTAGAAAAAAAGATCAAACAAGATAAGATAAACTTTATTCATCCCTCAGTGGGGGAAATAAGACTGTTAAAAGCAGGACTGTTTTAAGCAGCCTGTCTCACATTTTCAGAAAGACTGCTTCAGATTTTAGCCGCATAAATCTGAAAGAGTGTCTCCTCGTGTGTAGCCAGAATAATATAAATCACAAAGCACTAAACCAAAGACTTTTTAAACCCAAAATTGTGATTGTGGCACAAACGGCAACTGAGCTAGAAGAGTTCACGAGTGAGTTGGAGCAAAACTTTGTCTATTAGCATTTCCTATTGGGCCTCATTGAGCTAGCAGGTTAGCATTGTCCATCTACATGGTTCAGTGTAAGGTATCTTCAGAAAAATGCACAGATTTTTCTCGGTAAGGCATCATTTCTATCAATATCAAAGTATTTTCCAGCAGAAATATGTGTAAGTTTCTGCCATGTGGGGACATAGTACAAGATGCAAGTTACTTCTATTGGAACAGAAAACTTTCTCTTGTCTGTGAAGCAGAGGCAGTGTCAGAGACGGGCTGACATTAAAATCTATGTTCAAGGTGAAAATATAAATGATTTGTTTTTGCCAAGTGTAAAAGTTTGCACGGAGGGATTTTTCTCGAGGAGTTCTTTGTGAAACACCGAAGCCACTCGAAAAGTCTGACAAAATCAATCGGATTCTCAAGGGCTCATGCAGCGACAGTGTGAACAGAACCAAAAAAACAACTTTTACTTGAGCACAAGAATAAACTTTATGTCTTTAAAGTAAACTAGACATCATTCAAAAATCTCAACCTATCTGTAAGTAACAAACTCTTCAGTCCTGGGTCTCAAGTACAGACTGTATATAAACGGACAATGCTAACCTGCTAGCTCAATGACGGCCTATAGGGAAGTGCTCATGTGCGAAGTTTTGCTCCAACTCGCTTTGGATCCTATTGACTTGCACTGTAAAAATATATTCCTCTAGCTCAGAAATCGTTTGTGTCACACTCTCATTTTTCTTTCTGTGATCCTGGTGTTTGAAATGTCACATTGTCTTTGTAAATCCAGATATAGCAGATTGTTTAATGTAAATTCTCT